GTTGTCTCAGGTGTGTGTTATTCTTTCCCTACTGCCTTGCTCCACACGTAACGCTGCACCTCAATTAACAAACCTCCTGATTGGTCATAAATACCATGCAAAACCAACAAACCCAAAAGTAATGACATGCATGCTGCTGATTCTGTGTAAATGAATCATTAATTAAAAGCGGCTTGTTCAAAATAATAGCAGTGTGGAGTTCAACTAGTGAGGTTATTCATCCTGTGAAAAAACAGGCGTCAAACAGGTAGCCAATGTTGTGCATGCTAGTTATGGAGCATTTCTTTCTGAAAATTTGAGTAAAATGGGTCGTTCCAGACATTGTTCAGAAAAACAGCGTACTTTGATTAAAAAGTACGAAGAAGTTCAGAAAATGATAGGCTGCTCAGCTGAAATGATCTCAAATGCTTTAAATTGGTAAACAAAACCAGAAAGACGTGGAAGAAAACGCAAAACTACCATTCGAATGGATCGAAGAATAGCCAAAATGGCGAAGACTCAGCCAATGATCGGCTCCAGGATGATCAAAGAAGGTCTAAAGTTACCTGTGAGTACTGTAACAATAAGATGCCTATGTGAAGCCAAGCTATCAGCAAGAAGCCCCCGCAAAGTCACATTGTTGAAAAAACGACATGTGCTGAAGAGGTTACAATTTTTCAAAGAACACATTGACTGGCCTAAAGGGAAATGGCGCAACATTTTGTGGACTGATGAAAGCAAAATTGTTCTTTTTGGGTCTAGGGGCCACAGACAGATTGTCAGATGACCCCAAAACACTGAATTCAAGCCACAGTACACTGTGAAGACAGTGAATCATGGTGGCACAAGCACCATGATATTGAGATGTTTCTCATACTATGGTGTCGGCCTATTTATCGCATACCAAGGATCATGGATCAGTTTGAATAGATCAAAATATTTGAAGAGGTCATGTTGCCTTATGCCGCAGAGGAGATGCCCTTGAAATGGGTGTTTCAACAAGGGTTACACCCCAAACAGTCCAGTAAG